TATAATTTATTTTTAATTATTTTTTGCTTTATTTTTCTGTAAGTTTTTTTATAAAAATAAATTAGAAATTTATTAATTAACAGAAAAATTAACTTTTTTGATTTTTTGAAACATTTTTAACTTATTTAATATATATTAATAAAAAATTATTTAATTTTAATTTTCAATAAATTTTATAGTTATTATTAATTTTTTTATTTTTATTTTTTTAAATTTATTAATTTAATACAATTTTTGTTACTTTAAAAATAGTAAAATATTGATTCATATAACAGGAAATAGATTTAGTTTTTATTACATAATTATACAAAATATTACAAATTAATAATAAAAAACTATTAATTATATAATAAGTAGGACTGTTGTTTGAATATCCCATTGCAAATATTTATAACTTATAAAATTGATACTTAAATTAATGATAAATTGAAAACAGATTGTATTCAAAAATCTTTAGTATCATATTAGTTATATACTGTAATAAAACTATTATTATAGTAAACAATGTACTCAATACACTATATTATAATACACACAATACAAGTATCAAAAATTAACACTGTATAATGCGACTTATATATCATAAAGTATAATAAAAATAAATTAATTGAAATAAACCAATAATTTTTTTGTATATAAAATTGTAATAACTTATGAATTTAAGAGATATAAAGAACTAATAAATCTTATATTCTTTGCGTTATATATTTTAAACATAATTTTCAGGTGTGTTTTAAATAGCGTTTTCATACACAAAATGTATGTAATAGAAAATTTTGTATTAAAATTGATAACACTATGCAATTGGTGGGTGAATATGCATCGGGTGGGGGTCTATTTCAGCGTACATAGGGGTCGGCACACAAAAAACCAGTGCTCTAACAAGGTATACATATACTGTACTGAATATACTGTATATACATACAGTACATACACTGAAAATTATTATAAGTGATTGAAAGTAAAAGAGCAGATGAATTATAATAAATATTATTGAAAAATAAGAGTCCAGATAACACATTACACAACACTGTACTTAATACAGTATGATATAAGTAAAAAAAWTTTTATATAAATTATTATAAATCGGCATAACTTTTATTGCAAGTGATTTATCATCGCATTTGATGGCATTAGCGGTTTGCACGCAATGTACACTTTTCAGGTACAGTATATACTGTATATTTATAAATTATAATATATACTAACTATATAAGAGATAGAGTGACTGACTCCCTGACCCCCACTATCTCGTTAGTCGAGTCCAGTTCCCAATCAATTCAAATACGATGGCATCAAAGTGTGATTGTGTGCTATTTATACATATATTTTGCATATTATTGCAGACTCACAAATGTTGCTTATATACTGGTGTATGTAATGTAATTTGCATTGAATAGATTTTAATTTAACACATAATAATTACAGCATATAAATTTTACATCATCATATTTAACGTGATGTAAATTTCAATATTTCTCATGTGAATTAACCCTTTTATTATTTTTAATTACTATATATATATATATATATATATATCATACTATACTTTTAGTTAATTAAAATTTATTAAATGCTATGTGTGGCTAATTGCAGTTTAATTATTTGAAATTATATATATATAAAAATTAAAAATTAATCAATAAATTTATATATAATTAATATTAATTAAAATTTATGAAATCTTAAATTATTTTCATAAAACATAAAAACATATCACAGCAACAAATAGCTAAATGATGATATTTGTAATAAATAGTCTCTATTTRTGATAAAAATATATATAAATTGATATCAAGGTAAAAACTAGCCATAGTATTGATACTTTTAACTGTAAATCTATAGAGAATACTAAACAGCAATTTTCCAATCAAATAAATACTTGAGTTTTACTTTACTATACTATGAACTATCGTTTTGTATGTCTCTAACAAAACTATATTTGGTTTCCAAGTTTTTTTCGGTTTGATTTGATTTCCCAAATGATATTTTTACTACCAATCGTTTTTTTTACTAAATTGTGTGTTTGAGAGAGAGAGAGAGAGAGAGAGAGTTTAGTGTGGTGTGTATGTACTAAACAATTTGTAAGTATATTAAGGGATAACCAATGGGGTGGTTGTATAATTGACTTACATCTAAACAATTGCCAATATATACAACAAATAATTATTGTTAAGCTGAGCATTAAATGAGCTTATTTTATCAAAAACATTAAACTATTTTAATTAATTTACTGAATAGAACTAATAATTTTTAATTATATAAAATTGAAATAAATTTGAAAGTATTGTACATTAGTCAGAATTATTCATTTATTTTGATATATATTGTATATCTATTGTATATAAAAAAAACTATTTTTTCTTCAATCATTAGTCTATAAGATGGTAACAGTATTTGACAATAAAAACTAAATTGAATATAATATTTATTTGTCATAAGCCTTGAGGCCAACAATTGTGGTGTTTGGCTGTCTTTCCTCTCCTTTGAAAAATATATCAAATAAAAGGTGTATTATATTTGTTGATATCCATAGCAATACTCTTCTTGTCCGCTGATAATTCATTTGTATAGCAAACAGACTGACAAACAGTTTCTATAAATTTAATATTAAACTCTTGAAAAATCTCTTTTTTAAAAATCGAATGATAAATAAATTTTTATATCTTAGAGACAGAGAAAAATTGTTTCATAGTATTTAAAAAAATTTGCGCAAAATATAAGTTTCATAAAAATTATGATATGATTTATATTACTGATAGAGAGAGAGAGAGAGAGAGAGAGAGAGAGAGAAAGAGAGAGAGAGAGAGAGAAAGAAAATGTAAATAATATAAACGAAAGTATATCATAGCAATGAAAAAATTGGTTTTAAAAACTGGTTTTAAGACATGTTTGGTATCACATCTTTTCAATCGTTTCACTCATTAATTATAAACTATTTTATATTTTATTTTAAAAGTTAATAAATTTTAATAAAAAAATGCATACACACACACATGTTGTTTTAAAATATAAATAATTAAAATTTTGGTTAAAACCTAAGTAACCAAATAAATAAGCTATGTTATTAAGCAGATTATGCATAATTTGTTGCGCAAAAATCTATTTATTTTATTAAAGTAAAATATATTTAAATTTTTGGTTGTTTTGAATAATTTTCAAAGAAACAAATTAATTATTTTTATTCAATTTTTTCATACATATGTATAATAAAAAAAGTTTAAACATGTCTTTTTTATTTTCAAACCCATTTAAGACATAATTTATATAATTATATTTATGACTTATTTTTCATGAATGGGTTTTCTTTAGATATATAATATTTGTCAAAAATATTTTTTAAATTACATATACTTTACTCTCATTGGACTCATTTCTATAGTTAAAGACATTATACAGTATGAAAGTAAGTTTAAGTCAAAAATGATAGTTAACTCTAATTTATAGATAGCTTTCGGTTATAATTATTATTGAATTTATTTATATTAACGAAACTATAAATATAATATTTATAAGTAATATCAGCCAAAACGTTTTATAATTTATTAAATTAAAAATTTATACTTAATAGAAAAAATTGAAAATATATATAAATTAAAATTTTATTACTGATATCATCAACACATAGCTATGAGTTTACTTAGCTTTGTTATGAAAGTTATGTTACGAAAAGTTATAAATTATTAGATTTTTTTCAGTTTATTTTGAAACTTATTTTTGTAAATTCAATGTATATTTATATAAAATCATATGAAAGTGTAAGTAAGTGTTGAATATTCTCTCAGAAAATTGAAWATTTCTGTACCTTTGCATATGATTTTCACCCCTAATAATAACAATTGAAAAATAATATACTTTACAACAACCGCATCAACTTTGAGGGACAGGTCTGTTACTTGGCTACCATTCCTTTTTTAGTATTATATGTACACAATTAATGGCACGGATATTGAAATATACTATCAGATATAATTGTACTTTTTTTCTCTCTCTCCTCTAAACTATAATATTTGCGACTTTTATAAAAAAAACTTTCTTTGAGTCTATAATATGTGTCTCTTATATCAATAGTCATCACAACATATCATAAGATGATAGGGACGGTTGCAAAACATGGTCTGCAATTTGATTTAAAAAGACCACTGGATTAGTAGAGGAGCCAAATATAATAGATACCAAAAAACTATTATTTAATATTTATAAACTATAATAATATGATAACCACTGATGTAAAAACTGATATATAAAACTTTGTGTCGGCATTAGAACAAGTTTTATATCCAATTTTAAAGTATACAATGTTTTATTTCAGTAGCAAAAAAAATCTGTATAAATAAAATTCAAAAAATATAAGATAAGAGAGTGTGAAATATATAAAATAAAAATTTCCAATATTTTCATTCAGACAACTTAAAAGTTTTTGCTTTAATATTAAAGTTGTATTGATGTGTAGGTAGAGGGATATGATGTTAGATAAAAAAAATATTTTTAGTTGTCTATAAATATATATATAAATTTATATTTTGTGGTCATTCATATCATTCACACAATTTTTGTGTCCAAATATTATATGTTATATGATATGTGTGCCAAAAATCAATTGGTTTTTTTCTGTGACAGTATGTCTACCTCTCTATCTATTACTACGGTTCCGATACTTGGGTTTTAATGTAAATACAATATATTCATATCAATACAAAAGATAGCGAAAGTAAGCTCATGGATCTCTGTTCCAACATTTATTGAAATACATTGAAAAGATTAGACATAACTTTATGTGACATTTTTGCGGTGATCACCACAAACATGTCAAAAGCTGTATTTTTATTGATATTTTTCAATATATTTATATTTATCAAAACTATTGATGCAAAACACACACTTCAAAAATAACCTCAAAATAACTTTACGTGTTTTTGTGACTTTAATTTATTGATTGAAAAAATTCAAATATATATATTAAATATTTGTTTAAAATTCAATTTGTCTTTGTTTTATAGGCAAACAACTTGGCAAACATAAAACAACACACAAAGTGGTACATATATTAAATTTGTAAAAAAGTAAGTTTTCTATAAAAAAATTTTTTTTATCATTAATTGACTATAAGTTTCACTCAAATCGCGTGTTAAGCGTTATAAATATACAGTATATTGTATCAATATAAGTGATTTTTATATAACTTTGATTATACTGTATAATACATAAAAGTTGAATTACTTTTTATCTCTTTAATAACTAAACTGTCACTATATATCTGATATTTACAACTAATGATAAAATAATCATTTTCAAAAATATCACTTCAAATTTTAACATTTGTTTTAGTTTTAAAAATAACTTTTACAGTACTAGTTTATTGTAATATTAATTTGAAATCAATTAATTACCAAGTTACTTATATTAGTAATCTTTATCTTTAATTGACTTTTAAAAATATATAAAATGAATTTATTTTCATAAATTATATAATAAGCTTATCGTGCATAATTCAATTATCACTAAAGGGTTAATAAAATTAACAAAATTTGTTGAATATATATATATATTAAGTGCACAACTTAATAATATTTTAAGATTTCATTAGTAAGTATTAAATGAAATTGAATTTTTAATTATTTTTACAAATTTAATTAAGTAATTAATTTGCAAATTACTTTTATACAATCTTTTGGTTAATTTTAATCTATTATGTTATTTATTTGTTGAATTATGTCACAAATAGTGTTGGCAAAAAAGAGAAATTTATAAAATAATAGAGAAATTTCTAGAAAGTTTCTAAAAGAAATTTCTATTTATGGGATCCCCATGGTTAATTTTGTTTTCTCGAAATTTGTTATATTTAACATTGTTTTTATAAGTAATATTTAAATATTAGTATTAGTATTTTAATTATTAATTAAAGTAAAAAATTTATTTATTTAATTATATTAAACTATGATATAATAAAATGGTTAATAAAATTTTACAAAACTGATTATTATTAAATAATTAAAATTATTTATATAGGTATCCCATTTGTATAATAGTATTATACAGTAATCTACATTATATAGTATAATATTATATGTATAGTAGTATGTGTCTCATTAATATATTTATAGTTTTACAATATCTATAGATATGGGGATCCCATAGTATAACAAAAAAGTTAAATTTCTATAGAAATTTATTCCTGAGAAACTTTCTAGAAACTTTCTCAGGGTAATTTATTAGAAACTTTCTATTTGCCCATCTCTAGTCACAAATCAATATACTTTCTTATTACTGTATATATAGTTTTATATGATTTTTTGTGAATATTTGGACATAATTTTATTATATATATTTAATTTTAAAAATTAGATATAAATTTTAAAGCAATCTTTTTGTTTTAAGTATTTTGATTCATTGAAGCATTTGTCAATAATAAGCTTTTAAATAAAATAATATTGTTTAAACTATAAAATCATTTTTGTTTGAAATAAAATTTTAATATTTATTATATCTTAGCAGTGATTTTAGCTATAAAGTTGACAAATAGCTTCAATATATTGCATGAATGGGTGCGGCTATAAATATAACATTGCTGTTCATCAAACATCTATTGAAACTTTTTAAATAAATAATTTCTTACCTAATGAAGTGTTATACAAATAAAATATTTTCTAATAAATACTGAAAAAAATTAATGTAAAATTTCAATTAATTATTTATAAATTATTTAAATAAAATTATCTTATTCATATATTGTATATTTTACAATATATATATATATATATATATATTTATAATAGATTATTTTATATATATAATATTTATGGCATTAATGTTCAATTGAGATGAAAATTTTTAGACATTATTTTGATGTCAGTACACATTTTGAGTTCAAATAAATTCATGTTATTTATTGCTTTAGCTTTCTATGAGATAAAATATAGATATCATAATAATTTTTTTAAGGATAAGTTAACAACAAAATAAAATTATTTTTACTTCCAACAAAAATCCATATATAAAACTAAAATATAGTAATCAGATAATTGTTTGAAATAAAAAATTAATATTACATTCATAAATATATCTAAACATATATTAGTTGTTTTAATTTTTATCTTTTTTCTTAATCTTAGTCTTTTCATAAGACATTTAAGACTTATATTTATAACACTTTACTAAATATAATATATAAAAATATTATAGAAGTCATTAATCAAATTTATTTATCATATTTATTAAATTTGACAAAAAAAATTTAACGCATTTTCACATATTTTTTGCTAATAAATTTATGAGAGAGAAGTTCAATATACAGGTTATTTGACAGTCATTTTTGAGCCTTTTATTAAAGTCTCAGTCATTGATGGTGTCATTTGCCCTTAAATTTTAATCAATCAAAAGATTAATATATAAATGTGTTGGCTATTTATATAAACACAACAAATGTTTTTTGTTTATCAACTTTCTATACAAAATTTTAAATTGTTATCTATTATAGCTATCGTTGCCAATGATTTACAAAATACAGAAAAATATATTATACAGATATAATGATAAATATAATATGCAAAAGTCATATACAGTAATACAACAATTGTGTAATTTATATGAGAAATATGTCATTTGTTTATGTTTTTAAATTTTGAATTCAATTAAAGTATAGTAAATATAGATAATTTTTTTWAATTTATACTTAAATATTAGTAAATTAATGAATTCAATTATGCAAAGTATTTATATTGTTGTCACAAAAYATTATGAATTTATTAGATCCAGTTTAGTTTATTTTTATATAATAGAAAAATTGATAAATTATTTAATAAAATTGTAAAATAAACACTTTAAGCATACATTTATTTTATTGCTTTTTGTGAATTACTTTATTTTATATACATTTTAGCAAAATAGATGTAATTTATAATACTAGTAAAACAATAAAAGACACTAAAATTTTACAAATAAAAGGGTTAATAATACTAATAACAATTATTATTATATCAATTAAAACATTAGACGTTGTAAACAGAAGTTGTAATACAACTAAAACAAAACAACAACAAAAAGTAATCAAATGTTGTAATACTGTAACTCTTTAATAGTAAAAACAAAGAAACAATTTTTACAAATAAAAACTAAATATATTTTGTTGTTTTATTACTTTAATTAATTAACTTTAATGAAACTGAAAATATATACTCTTTAAATGTTTTGTCTATTAATAAAAAATAGTTAAAAGATTTTGATTAATTATATTTAAAAATAGAAGTAATAGATTGATTATACGCTAATATCCATTTTAATGGTTATAATAAATAATAATAATAACAATATTGTTAAATACATAAAGTGACTGAATTTCTAATATAATTCTTTGAGATGTCTTTAAAGTATTCAATCATTTGTAACATTGAAACAAAAAATACTTTCACATGAATTCCAATAAAACAGTTACCATTGTTGCCTACCGTTCCTTAATATTATTGTATCTCCAGGTGCCATTCATTCACTCATTTAATTATTAGTGGAAATAATTATTTTGTAAAACAAGCTTATATTATATATATATATATAAAGATTTTCATAATTAAAGCTAATTTATTTGAAAATAATTTATCATTTTTGTATAATTTATTATTTTAAGTGTCATTAGTATATCAATTGAACGCTTATTATATTATATTTAAACTCAGATAAACTTTATATGTATATGAATTGTATTTTGGTTTTTGCCAAATAAATATCATTAGTGACAAAACTAAGACGGGAATGGGAGGCGAGTGTCGTGTACTGTAATAATAGAAATTACAGTATAGTATAGTATAGTATAGTATAGTATAGTATAGTATATACCAGTTTTTAAATACCATTAGCAAAGATTAAATAAAAAACTTGGAGATTGCGGTATAAAAACTTTTTAAACTTACTTTTAAATTATTGATTATTCATTTACTTCAATATTTTTAATAAAATTTTTGTGAAAAGTGTGTTAAAAAAAAGATGTACCGAAAAAATTGATGTAAAGTCTAATGAGTCGCTCGCTCTCTATTAGTCAATGATGCCATCCATACAATAGATTTAATAATAAACCAGAAAATTGAAGTCTTGTTGTTAACCAATACATTATTATATAGATATAAATTGATTGAATGAATGAATTGCTGAAAATTTTTTTGTTGTTCAACTGTTTTGTTGTATTATAAACAAAGTGAGTGTATATTGAATGAAATGACTTCTAATTTAAAATGTTTGATAGCTTAGGGAGAGAGCTGTGAGTATATGACTGACACGATAGCATCAAAACAGGGCCAACAAATAGCTGGGTTACGGTTGTAAATGAAAATTTCATGTGTTTTATATACATTTTTACACTCAATCTATATATTTATATTATCATCAATATTGATGTGCTAAATGAGTAATATAACAGTCTATAACTATTTAATTTAAACTATTGAAAAATACAACACATTTTTGGACAATATATTTGAAGAAAGAGAGTGGTATAGGGGACCAGGTATTCAGCCCCCCTCTTATACTACATTATGTTGTACTTAGCAATACTGTAGTATACTGTAGTTTATAGTTAAAACCACTGTCTCGCTTATGGCAATCAAACAGTGCAAAACATGCCAGTGCTGTCTACAAGAAAGCTTATGATTGATTACCCGATGCTGAGGTCAACACTTTTTACTCAAACACATCTCTCTTTTTCTCATTTTTGATGTGATGGCGATTGATATCCAGGCGCTCACAATATCTCCCGGTGCTCTCTATTTGAAAGCAATATAATTCTCATTTGAGAAGAAAAGGTTTCTAACAATAAAATACTGTAATTTAACTAAAAGTAGTAGTTTTTACAACAAAACTGTTTATTTTGTAGGGTTGGAAATACATGTATCCTCTATTATATCAATTGTGTGTATATAATGTGTTTTACTATTACTTCCTTAATATTATTGTTTTATTCAATTTTACAAAAATATGTATATATATTATCTTTTGAATATCGGTACATGTGTTTTTCAAAATTTTATTTAGTAGATATCATCATAATTGAAATTTTCTATTATAATGTATGTTTTGT